CTCCTGAGTAGCTGGGAATACAGGTGCTTGCCACAAAGCCTGGCTAGTTTTTCTATTTTTAGTAGAGACAGGGCCTTGCTCTTGCTCAGGCTGGTCTTGAACTCCTGATCTTAGGCAATCCACCTGCCTTGGCCTTCCAGAGTGCTACGATTACAGGCATGAGCCATGGTACCTGGCTTCAAACATATTTTATCACAGAACTCTTTTTCGGGGGCAGCACCTGTGGCTCAGTGAGTTGGGCACTGGCCCCATATACCTAGGGTGGCGGGTTTGAATGTGGCCCCCGCCAAACTGCAACAACAACAACAAAAAAATAACTGGGCATTGTGATGGGCACCCGTAGTCCCAGCTACTCAGGAAGCTGAGGCAAAAGAATCCGGTAAGCCCAAGTGCTGGAGGTTGCTATGAGCTGTGATGCATGGCACTCTACCAAGAGCTACAAAGTGAAACTCTGTCTCTAAAAGCAAACAAACAAAACTCCTTTTCTGTGTAACAGGCTAATATCCCACAACACCAGGTGTTGCTACAGAGTGTGGCTCTGCCCCCCTCCATTCTGTGCTGTGTCATTCTCCACATTTCCTCTCTCTCATCTGTTCTCCCCAATAAGACTGATAGCTCCAGGCAGGCAGGGGCCTTCCTTTCCTGCTGTGGCTCCCATGTCCTTTGCATGGGGTAGTTGTGGGCTTGTCCTAACCTTGGCCGCCTATGAGGACCTTATGTATATTGCCTGTCCCTCTGACCTTGTTTCTCCATTTGCCATAAGGGATAGTGACCTTGACCAACTGACCTCATGGGGTGACCATGAGGAGAAAATGAGGTCATGTGGACACACACTGTTGTGACAGAGTAAAGAATGACAATGGGCTGGACAAAGAGCTGAAGCTAGCAAAAGGATTGTGCTGGGAGCTCAGGCTCTAGGGACAATTCAGGGTTGCGGCTCCATAGTCCTCATCATCATTTAAAAAAATGCTTTTCAGGCTCGGTGCCTGTAGCACAGTGGTTACAGCACCAGCCACATACACCAAGGCCTATAGGTTCGAACCTGGCCTGGGCCAGCTACACGACCATGACAACTGCAACAAAAAATATCGAGCGTTGTGGTGGGCTCCTGTGGTCCCAGCTATTTGGTAGGCTGAGGCAAGAGAATGGCTTGAGCCCAAGAGCTTGAGGTTGCTGTGAGCTGTGACACTACAGCACTCTACCAAGGGTGACATAGTAAGACTCTGTCTCAAAAAAAAAAAAAATGTTTTTCAGAGACAGAGTCTTGCTATGTTGCCCAGGCTGGTCTTGAATTCCTGATCTCAAGCAATCCTCGTGCCTTCGCCTCCTAAAGTGTTGGGATTACAGAGGTGAGCCATTGCACCCAGTACCATGTTCATTACTGTCACACAGGAGGCTGGACCCCAGGGTTCAGGGATGTGTTGGGGGCTCTCCAGGAGAGCTCAAAAGGGGGCAGGAACTGGCCCAGGCATAGCATGGTGCTCATTAAAGTTCTGAGAACTTTACTTAGCTCATTTGAGCTTCATCACCACTTACTTTTTTTTTTAGATAGTTTCATGATATTGCCCTTGGTAGAGTGCTGTGGCATCACAGCTCACAGCAACCTCAAACTCTTGGGCTTACACAGTTCTCTGCCTCAGCCCCCCAAGTCATTTTTTTTTTTTGAGACAGAGTCTGACTGTGTTGCCCTAGGTAGAGTGCCATAGTATCACAGCTCATAGCAACCTCAAACTCTTGGGCTCAAGAGATTCTCTTGCCTCAGCCTCCCAAGTAGCTGGGACTACAGGTGCCCACCACAGTGCTCGGCTATTTTTTCATTACAGTTGTCGTTGTTTAGCAGGCCTGGGCTGGGCTTGAACCCCCCAGCTTTGGTGTATGTGGCCAGCACCCTACTCACTGAGCTACAGGCGCCAAGCCTTCATCACCACTTTCTAAGGTTGATTATATTATCCCCATTTTACAGATGAGGAATTTGAGGCATGGAGATTAACTTGCCCAAGGTCATATAGCTGGGATAAAATCCAGACATTGGGTTTCATGGGCTGAAGTCTTTGGGTAGGAAGAGACCTTAGGGGGGCTGCAAGGGGATCCATGTGGAGGATGAGGAACCTGGTGGGGGGTAGTGAGGACCATGGTAGGGGTGGAGACCCTGGGTGAGCCGTCAGGGGAAACATGGAGAGGGTGGAAACCCTGGGGGTGGGGACACTAGCAGAGTTTACAGGCCCCAGGGGGTATGGGCCGTGGGGAGGCTCTCACCCTGCAGCAGGCACAGTACTTCCAGCAGAGCAGCAGCAGCAGGGCCAGGAGCAGCAGGAGGAAGAGGAGCAGGGGGATGAGCCACCAGAAGGAGCCAGGAGGACAGTCTGGGGAGGTGAGAGGATGAGGAAGGAGGCAGTGCCTGCTGCCCCTCCCCCATAGGCCTGACAGGCTGGCTTTTCCCTGAACCAGGCGCTCCAGCTCACCCTTCTTCCTGTGTACCAGGACGGTGCTGTTGGGCCCAGGGGTGCCATCGCCCTCCACCGTGTAGCTGTAGGTGCAGTCATCGTCCTCGTCCCGGAAGGAGCAGAACTCCACCACCTCCTCCGCTGCACCCACAGCTGGTCAGCAGGGCACCCCAGCCCCAATCCCTACCCCAAGGTCTAGTAGAGTGCCCCCTACTCTGGGACCTGCCCCACCCTCCCTGGTAAGCTGTGCCCTACCCTGGCACAGGGATAGAGTGAGATGTGGACTGCCATTTCCCCCGTTCCCTGACCTGGGCATCAGCCTGGAACTTGGTGTCTGGAAAGCGCATCTGACCCAGAGGAAGGGAGGCTATGTACCTCACAGCCTGACCATGTGCCCCTGCTCAAGCCAGGTGACTGCTCCCCAGGCTCTTGGTCTCCTACTCAGCTTTGTACCCTCTGGCGAGTATGTGCCCACTGCCTAAGCTCTGTGCCCCTTACTTGGTGTCCCTTGTCTATGTTCCATGTCTCCTCCCAGCTTTGGGACCCCTATTCAGGCTGTGACCTTAGCACAGATTGTGAGCCGCTGCCCAGATGGGTAATGTCCATGCCCTGCTGAGTGCCCCTGACTAGGCTCTCAGCACCCTCAGCCGGCATCCCCTGCCCCCTACCTTTCTTCAGCTCATCTACCATCTTGACCTTGAAGCTGCACTCCTCACAGGTGCGCCCCTTCTTCTCCCCGGTGCCCCAGGCCTGGCACTGCACACAGGAGCGCAGGTCCTCGCAGAGGCCCAGGCGGATCTGCCGGAGTGAGGGGAGGAGTACTATGTTGGATGGGCTTCTGCCAGGCCCTGCTCCCGCAACCTTACAGCCTTGGCTGGCTTTCCTACAAGAACCAGCCCCTCCCAAACACCGTGCCCTGAGCATGGGGTTCTTATGCCCACACCCCAGAAATCCTGGCCTCACCGCTGAGTAGTTGATCTCACAGGTGGTGTCCGTGTACAGAGACTGCTGGTTGCAGTGACAGCGGCCACACTCACAGTGGCCACGCCCGTTACAGATGCCCTGGAGCAGAAGGGGGTACCACTGAGCCAGCTGTTCCCCAGGCCTTCCCTCTCCCATCTCCTCCCTCCATAGGATTCTCTTTTGAGGAGTTCAGTGGCCCTGACTCAGGCCTCCTCTGCTGCCCTGCACTGCCTGTCCCATGCCCAGGCCTACCCCATTACTGTCGATGCAGGTGGCATTGCTGAGGGGACAGTCACAGCTTGGTCCTGTCCAACCAGGCTCACACACACACTGACCCATGGAGCAGCGTCCCCGGTCTGCAGAGGGGTAGGGGAGAAGAGAAGAGAACCACATTTGCACCTGCAATCTAGGCAGGTAAGCCGTGGGAGCTAGTGTGTCTCCAATCAGGAGAAGTCATCTGTTCCCTGCTTCCTGGAATCTCCTCTCCTTCATCTCTCCCCTGCCATCCCACCTTCTACCTTCCACTCTGCAGCCAGCATGATCATCTCAAAACACAAATCCAATCATGTGGCTCTCCTATTTAAGAACCTCTAATGGGTCCTAGACAATGCAATAAGGTAAGAAAAAGAAATAAAATGTATAAATAAGAAATAAAAGTGTCATTATTATTTACAAGTATCAGGAACCTGTCATAAAACATCTAGAAGAATCTACAAATAAATTATTAGATTTCACAAGTGAGTTTAGCAAGGTGGCTGGATACAAGGTTAGCCTACAAATAGTTAGACAATGGAATTTAAACCTCTAATAACTCCATTTTGTCCAAAGGATTAAGTCCTGCCCTGGACTAGAGCCCAGGCCCCTTGCACTCTGGCCCCTCCCCCTTCCCAGGCGGCCACACCTCCAGCAGCACTCAATGTCTCCTTTTCTCCAGTGGTGTCTGATTCTCCCTTCTGTTTCTCTGAGCACCCTCTGGGGTGGACAGTTGAAGAGAAGAAATGGCAAACAAAAGCAAGAATAGAGAGTAGCAAAGCAGGGGCTTGATTTCCAGTGGCAAGTATATAATGGGGGCTCACTAAGTATGTGATGAGTGGATTTTCATTCATCCTCCTCTGCTCAACTACCAATCCTTCCAGGGGTCCCCTTATCTGAGTTCTGTGATCCTGGCCCAGCTCTGGTGATGCCAGACTGTGTGCCCATAGCCTGGGCCCAACACTGCCAGGTCCTGAAGGAATATCTAAGAAGCATAACTCCAGGCCCTCCTGCTAGAAATGTGGCATCTTCAGAGAGAGGAAAGGTAACCATGCCATATACTTGTCAACCTTTGAGAGCTGAGTTAGATGGCACCCACTGTAGTGAGATGAGGAATGGACAAGCCTGGTTGGCAGAGACCTGAATGGCCAAAGAGAACCTCAGGGGGAGCTGGGGTCTTAAAACCAGGGGACTGGGCCATCAGGGGCCTCAGGCATCAGTGCTGTAGAAGAGGGAAGTGAGGCCCAGGTTGGGGCAGGACTTGAGGGAGACACTTATAGTCAGAAGTGGGGCTGAGCCCGGCCTTAGGGACTCTGACTCAGGCCTGGCTCTCCCAACCTGGGTCCTAAAGGGAGGGTCACCCTTGCTGCCCAGCCCCACCCCACCCTCAGTGTTATCTGCAGCTACTGAGCTCACCATTGCAGAGGAACCCAGAGGTGCGGGGACACTGGAAGTTGTCATACTCGCAGAACTGACCCTCGTAGCGACCTTCACCATAGCACACACAGTGTCCACACTGGCACTCCCCACGGCCTGAGCATGGCTTGTCATCACCCTCCTGCAGGCAGGGCTGCATGTCGCTCAGGGAGCCCGTTGAGCAGTTACAGGTCTTGCCGCTCCTGAGGGAAGAACTGGTCACATCCCTGCGGCCCGGGAAGAAGGCTGGGGCTTCTACTGTCCCATTGTACAGGAGAGGAAACTGAGGCTCTGACAGGGCCATGGCAGGTCCAAGTCAAGTGGTGTCTCACTCTTGCTCAGGCTGGTTTTGAACTCTTGAGCTCGAGCAATCCACCTGCCTTAGTCTGCCAGAGTGCTGGGATTACAGGTGTGAGCCACTGTGCCTGGCCTTATGAGTTCTTTTCTGACTAGAGATACGGACATATGGTTCAAAATACTAAAAGTACAAGAGATATGAAATGAAAAATAAGTGCCCTTCCCGTGCCTGCCCCCAACACCCAGCCCTCCCCTGGCAGCCACTACTGTGTCATTTCAAAGTGCTTTGAATTGGATTTGCCCAATAGTGGGGCATGCCACTCTCCTAGCCCTTTCTGTGATTGCCATCTCACCCCTGGCTGGTGTGAAAGGTCATGGGTGCTGGACTCCCCTGTCCCACTCACCAGCCCTCACTGCACACACAGTGCCCACACGTGAAGTCTCCCTGGAAGTTGCAGCGAGCTGACTGCACCTCTTTTTGCTGGAATGAAATGGTGGCAGAGTATATGCAGTGAGGGGGACTAGGGCCACAAGACATTTCTGCTGCCCTGTGTGCCTCAGGTCACCCTGCAAGGGAGATGAGGCCACAGGAGTGGTGCTTTGTTACTCAGGACCCAGGGGTTCTAGGCTCCACCCCTCCCCTGTGCCTGGTGGGGTCAGATCATACCAGTTCACAGGCACACATGTCACAGATAATGCCCACGTCCATCCTGAGGCCATCAGAGAAGGATGGTTTCAGATGGATGTTGCCCTTCTGGTCCTCCACTGGCAGCTGGCACACAGGTGTCCCATCTATGTCCTCTATGGCCCGAAGATGCACTTGGTACGTGCCCTGCAAGGACCCCACAGTCAAGCCAGGGCAGTGACCAGGGAGCTGCTTGTGCCTAAAGGTCCTTGGCCCTCAAGGCAACCCTCTGAGCTTCAACCTTTTATTAATCCCACCATTCCAATGAGGATATGAACAAACTGAGGAATGTGCCAGGCTCATCCCAGTGAATGTGAACTCAGGCCTGCCTGACCCTAGGAGCCACCCTCTTTTTTAAAAAATAATTTTTTGAGGCAGAGTCTCACTCTGTTGCCTAGGCTAGCGTGTCGTGATGTCAGCCTAGCTCACAGCCACAGCAACCTCAGACTCCTGGGTTCAAGTGATCTTCCTAAGTGATCTTCTTATTGGGATTACAGGCATAGACCACCATGCTCGTCTGGGGGCCACACTTTTTTTTTTTT